CAGAAGGGCCGGCGGTCCGGGCCGGCGCGGGGCAGAGCTGCCCGGGCTGCGCCCAGGGGTGAGGGGAGAGGACTTTAGTTTTCACAGCTCAGCGCCACACCTGAGCGGGCCCTGCCAGCCCGGCTGGGCCCTGCGCGCCTCTCCCCAAGCCCTCGGCGGCTCGGCATAACGGCGAGGCCGTGGTGCTGGTCCCGGGGGAGGCTAGTTGTCTTGAAGGATCGCTGAGTCCGACCAGGACGTTGTTTCTTTTTCTTTCAGACTTCCCTGTTTACGCGTATAACCCGAAGCAAGACTTGTTCTTGTCACCTCTTCCTTTCGGCGTTTGTAAGAGATCTGAGAAGATGGTGAATGTTCTGAAAGGTGTTCTGATCGAGTGGTTAGTAGCAGCACTTACTGTCTGTCGTTGTGCCAGAGTCTACTTATTTCTTTAGAGCTGGAAATACTCTTAATTAACTTGAAGTGTCTAGACCAAAAAAAAGGAATCGTTGTGAGGAGGGGTAATGCTGGGCAAGCAGACAAAAGTGTGGCCTTTGGGGGAAGGAGAGAGGCAGTTGTAGGTAATCTGAATTCCAAACTCCGTTTTTTCCTTTCAAGATACTGTTTTCCACTTGTGCTTAACCATTAGATGGTCCCTCTTGTTCTTTATATTGCTTACAAATAATGGATATTTTTATTGTTGTTTGTCAGCAACGTGTTTCTTTACTGATGCTAGAGGGAAAGGAGATAATCTTTCATCCATTCTTTCCTGTCTTTTTTTCAACTCCAGCCCAAATTCCATTCAAGGCTGACATGTGCCTCTCTTTGTAGATCATACTTGAAAGGAATATGCTTGTAGCTTGTGAAAATATGCTTTTGATGTGTGTGCAGTAAAAATGTTTTCATACAATCTGAAGTCTCTAGACTAAGCATCAAATAACTGGTTACCTCCAAAGTAAAAAGAAGCATCAGTCAAGGTGTGTGGGCTCATTGCATAGCCTTATATGACGTAAGATTTCTGCTGCATGCTTAGGTTGTAAACACAGATTGTAACTGCACAAAAGCAGAACTTTGAACCTCTTGTGATGTGCCTGCATGGTGCACACAGCTGTGAGCTTGCAGCAGATAGCTTTTGAGCCTACTGGATGTTAGCCAGCTGAAGTGTGGATGTCTAATGGCTATGTGTGAGTGGTTCAGAGCCTAAACTCTGCTTAAATTTAAGTCTGTGTGTTTTTACTCAGCTCCCTGGCCGTGTTCCACTTAGTATTAGCATGGAACTTAATCATTCTCCCTGGAATGGAAGGGAATTTTCTATCTGATAACAAATCTACAGCATTTGTTAGGTTTTCAGATGTTTTCAACAGCCCCATGAGTTGGTTTTGCTAGCTGTTGGTGTTTTGTTTTTTTGTTTTATACCCACCTTTGCATAAAGGTAGCTTATGACTGGGCACAAAATTCCATCCTAGGAGAAGATGCAGAATTACTATAAACCTGTTCCCTTGTTCACACTTCAGATAAAAGTTTTTTACAACCCAGTTTTCTGAGGATGTTTAAGATACCAAATGGACATGGAGTGGAAACACCCCCCCCCCCCCCCCCCCCCCCGCACACTTCTGAATGTCTAAATCATGCAAATAAAATAGTGAAATGTTGTGCAGGTTTTTTTTTCCTCATACTCTTCCCATAAATAGCTAAACTTTTCTGAAGACACCATATCAAGGATTATAATCTTCAAGTACTGTGATGAGATCAGTGTTTCTGCTCTGACATACATGTGCTGACGCTGATTACAGTTCTGTGTGTTGACTGTGATAACCAGTCTCTGGATACTGCCTACCATCACACAGGCTGGTTGTACCAGTAGGACAAAAGCTTGTGCTATCTAGTATTACTAGTGTGAGTCACTAAAGTACAGCTGAATGAAGCAAGCTAAACATAAACCTCCCTGCACCCATCTGAAAGGGGATGTGGAAGAATGCTGGGAACCACGTACTTCTGGTATCTGATTTTTCTCAACTCTTCTGTTTCTCATTTGTTTTGCCTTTTACATGCCAGAGCACATAAATAATGGCTTTTCTAAAGAAGATGCAGCTTCTGGACTTTCCCATTCTCCTTTCCTCAAAAGTACTTTGTACTTTGAAAACTCATCTTACTCTAGTTGTGCTTCTGCAGGTTTGAGCTAACGTTAAAGGTTGGTTTTTTGAGTTGCCTGGTAGGGGGCAGGGGGAGGGGTTTGGTCTCAGTGCATGTCTCTGCACTGTATATACTGTTAGGTGAGGGAGAATTGGTTGTTATACTGCTTTTAAAAGAGAGAAGATTAACCAAGGAGCTCTTTTAAGATCTACTGTATTATTAAGAATTATTTTTAAGAACTACTATGTTGCCAAAACAACTATGTTCATAATTTTGAAAGTGTCCTGAACTACCCGATTCAAATTTCCTCTATTTCTTCACATATTCTTCACCAGTTATTGCAGTCAGATACTTGGTTTTACCAAAGAGCATGTTTTTCCTGTTTTGTGAAAGCTGCTATCAGAATAGTACTGCCTGAATTCCTCAAAATTTCGGTAGATCAGGGAGCTTATATTTTGAAGCCACTTTATCTAGCTGCTTAGTATAATGCAGCTGTTTCAGTTACCTGTAATTTCTATACTTGCAAAATGTTTTCTTTTAAACACTTAAATTTATCTTAGAAGGTGACATCATGAAAAAGAAGAGACTGTTCAGGTACAATGTGATGAATGTACAATTCATACATCACCACTTTTTCTCTGTGAGTGTGATCTATATTCTCCTGGGTATTTGTTACCCTTAAACAAAAATATGCTTTAAGAAAACTTTTTTTTTTATGATGTTATTGCTGAAAATAGAAATGCAAGTTCAAACTTGCCTTATTAAGGGTGGTGTGTGTTTGGTTTTTTAAGCTACTTTAACAGCAGCATAGGGGCACTTCTCTGCTAATCAAGCAGGTAGTTCTTCTCATTAGACTTCGTTATCGGGTTTTTATCTCTAAAGTAGTGCAAGTAATTATTATTGTGAAAGAAACAACTTTTTCAAGAGCTTCATAAACTTTTTATTTAAATTGTGAGCAACACTTGAAATTAATATTAATTTCCCGAGGAATTTTGGGAGTGTCTTCGAGTGATGGGATTTTTTTGTTTGTTTTTAACTGTTTCTTATCACAATGAGGTGGGATCTGATGTGTGTTTGTCTCCACAGTGACCCAGCAATGAAGCAGTTTCTGCTCTACTTGGATGAGTCAAATGCATTGGGAAAGAAGTTCATCATACAAGACCTGGATGAAACTCATGTCTTTGTATTAGCTGAGTTGGTTAACTTCCTCCAGGAGAGAGTAGGCGAGTTAATGGACCAGAACTCTTTTCCTATTACTCAAAAGTAAAAAGACTAGAGAAATGAGATTACTGGAAGTTTTGGAATAGTGAATTTCAATAGCTTGGGTTGTTACTGTTTTAGTAGATACATTGTGGTTAGTAAGTTCTGTGTGGAAGTGGCTACTGTAGAAAATGGATTGTTTTTATAGACAAAATACGCTCAAATTGGATTTTATTTCTCATTTTGAAAGATTATATCATCTTTATTAAAATGCTTAAAATGATACACTTGAAGACTTGCTTAGAGGATTGTTGGTGCTCTCTGTTTTTCCTTTAGCATTTTTGTCTGGCAAAACAGTATGACTCAAAAATAGAGTAGTGTTTCTGTATTGGAATGCTGTATGAACTCCTGTGACATGTTACATTCCTGTGGAAGTGATTTTTTTAAATCTGGTTATAATGTGACTGAGAGAATATAAAGAATGTCTGTTAAGGTATGACCTATGCTTGATGGAACAGCTCCATAAGTCAAAGGTGTGGTCAGATACTGCTTTAACTTAATGAGGTTTATACACCAAAATGAAAGTTGGTGTAAGTTTTCTTTTTGGTGGGTTTTTGTTTGGTTGGTTGGGGGTTTTTTGTTGTTGTTGTTTTGTTTGGTGAGTGTTTTTCCCAACATTTTACAAACGCCCCATACTACTTGCCTACTTTTCCTAAGGCTATGCTTTCTGTATTGTTCCGGGTTTGAGGAGTGGTGGTGGGAGGTTGGGGGGATATGGGGGGGATGGGGACAACAAAATTCATTACCCCCGATCATCACATTTTAATTTTAAGCTACTTACTTGCATATCAACAAAAGCAAATTAAAGGGGTAACATAAATGGGAGACCAATCCTTTAGATACAATTGCTTGTATTTTTCCACTGAAGCCAATAGCAAGTCGCAGTAAACTGTGGTCAGGAAGGGGAAATAAAGACCTGGTTGCTCTACCTGTGAAGAAGAAAGCTGGTTTTGTTTTTTTTGGGGTATTGGGGGTTGGTTTGTTTTTTCATCAGCTTAGCTCTTCCTCCCCTATTGCACTTTGCTGCGAAGAAAAAGCCTTATCGTTTCATTGGTGCTTGTAACTCACCATCTCAGACGTTGGCTTGCTTAGTAAGTCAGTTTAGTGCATGATCATAAAACCTGTGAAGATTTCTGTCTACAAATATGGCAGATGCAGAAACAAGAAGAATAACATGTATTACCTTTTTCTCTTACCCTACTTCCTACTCAAAATAGTCAAATTTATTTGATATGTAAGTGATCGTTTATAAATGAAAGACTTCTAGGATATTACTTCAAAGAGAAGCTTGGTTTTCAGATAGTTTCAGATGGTCACATCAGATAGATGTCATCTTTTTATCTTTGTGGGAAAAACAAGTGTAAATAGAACGGCTTTCCTAAGGAACAGGTTTCCTTACTGACTCTCCCACCGTTGCTTTTTTTTTCCTTGTCCAGTAGATACCAGATTAGCTGGTGGTTTTGATTTTGATGGGTTGGGTTTTTTTTTCCCCTCCAGGAATAGGGAAGCTTTGGGAGAAAGTTTCATTAGATGTTCTTAATCAAAAAGCTGCCTGAAGAAAGTTCTGCAGAATTGCATATATTCAGGCTCATGTGGATGAGTAAATAGCCCTGTGGAATTTAGCTTAATGTATTTTTTGGTACTGCCCCTTTTCTCTTAACTGTATAGAGCAAAGGGGTGTGGTCCAAGTTGTTTCATCTTTTTTTTGCAAGTGAATGCTTGCCCAGTCACATAGATCAAGAACCAGCTACACATCTTCACTTGAAATAAAAAGTTGTAATCTTTTTCTAATGGTTTATAGTTCCTTACCTCTTTCGTGAGACTGGTCAAACATAGACTTTGTAACTTATTTTGTGGAAGATTATTGGATGCTTATTTAATGGAGAGATAATCAGTAGTCTTAGTGCAGCATAATAGCTTAATGCAATTTATTTAAAAAGTGTCTTGTATCCTTTCTTTGGAATCTTAGCTTATTTTCCATCCAGATTTTGATGGAAGGTAAATATTTGATCCCTCGCTCTCTCTTCAAATCATAGAATCATTAGGTTGGAAGAGACCTCTTAAGATCATAAAGTCCAAATGACAGTATTTGAAAAGTAGTGTTGGAATTACACCTGTTAAACTTCTCTCCATTTATCACGTCTAGTGCTACATTTCTATTGTGATTTTCTTTTAAGTCTGTGATAAACTTCTTGCAGTTCTTGTGTTTTTCTTCTGGTTGATTGTAGAGCTTTCTTGTTGTGTTACCTGTGTTTTAGATTATATTTCCAGTGATAAATGGGTTCTGTAATACAGAGGGATAGAAGTTCCAAACTGTATAAACTAAAGTTAGGCATGCATTCTTACACTCTTTGCTCTCAATCTTTTTTGAGCAAATGTGTATGGATTTTAACTTCTAAACCTCTGTAGGCTTCCTGTAACCTAACCAAGCCTAACTGATTCTATGCTGGAAGAATAAACAAAAGATAGAAAGTAGCAAATTGTTATCTCCTTATGGAGTCGAAGGAGCTGAGTTCTTTGTACTTTCTAGGGGAAAAAGGGTCTTGGATCATGTAGTGTGGTGAAGGAAATCCAATGAGAAAGCTTTTAGAACTTGAGTATGTATATATATTAAAAAAAAATCCAAAACATCCAACAAGGGTTTCTGGGGTTGAATAAACTTGGACACCAGAAAGCTCCTTTTTTTTTTAATGCATGTAATCCTGGAACTTAGACGCTTAAAAATATATATATATAAATTGCTCAGATGGGAGAAAATTATATACTAGCTTTAAAAATAGCAAAATGTTTTGAGGTAGTTAACATTTACACTTACAGATTTTAAATGTTTTCGCTGGCTTTCATTTAGGTGTGAAATATTATTGGTGAGTGGAGCTCAGAATGAAGCATTGTGTTTGGAATATAATATTTTTTAAAGGCTGGAAGCGTTTGAGAGCAAAAGGTTAAGGAGATCTGTTTAAACGTATACATGTTTTGCTAATAGAATTGATATGGTGAGAATGGCAGCTCTTGCTGTATTTGGAATATTATATGTTAATTTAACATTTCTATCCATAACTAATAAGTTGTCTACTTTTTTTGCTGGT